TTGTTTTGAACCTGCTAGCTATTCATATAATTTGTTGAGCCTAGTTCTTATGTTATGGAAATGAGTAAATAACTTTTCTTTATTCACTTTCTTCATATCTGTCATGATTTTATAGACCTCTGTCATATCTCCCCTTGGTCACCTCTTTTCTAAGCTGAAAAGTGCCAGTCTTTTTATTCTATCTTCTTATGGGACCCGTTCCAAACCCCTAATCATTTCTGTTGCCCTTTTCTGAACCTTTTACAATGCCAAGAGATCTTTTTTTGAAATGAGGCAGCTGCATCTGCAGGCAGTATTCAAGATATGGGCATCCCATGGTTTTATATAGAGGCAATAAGATGTTCTCTGACTTACTCTCTATCCCTTTTTGCAAGATTCCTAACATTCTGTTTGCTTTTTTGACTGCTGCTGCACACTGGGTATTTTCAAAAAAAAAAAAAAAAAAGGTGCCGGTACTGCAGGAGAAAGTTGTTGAGCTCTGAGAAAGGCAAGGAGCAGGGCAAGAGGCAGACGCGGTGTCCCCAGGGTGATGAAGCTGCTGCTGTTGGAATCTGGATGCTGGGCCCAGATCCTGCTGATTAAATCAGCACTGGGGTGCAGTTCTGTGGGCAGTTTCATTTTGCACCAGGCCCTGTCTGCAGGAGGGATGAGTCCCTCGTATGGTTCTCCCCATGCACCAGGGAGAAGAGGAGGCAGATGGCACACTGGGAACACCAGGTCTACGTGTTCCCCTCCCTGGCTTGTACCCAATGTACATTCTCTTGGGCGGCCTCTCCTCCCCCTGAGGGTCTGAAGCGACATCATGGTGCACAGCCAGGAGCAGCGAGGGTCAGTGACACAGCCCATAACAACCACACTCAGGAGACACAGAGCAGAACCTCCCGGGGGATATCATATGGTGAGATCCACCAGTCCTAGGAAGTTTCCCTCACCGGAGTGCCGGGGCGTTTATGTCGTCACAGCTGGTGGGCAGCATGTGAACCATGGGGCTGGCCCCTCTCACCCACACTCTGCCCTGCTGGAGTTTCTGCTCATAGAACCATAGAGCTGGAAGAGACCTCAGGAGTCATCAAGTCCAGCCCCCTGCCCAAGGCAGGACCAACCCAACTAAATCAACCCGGCCAGGGCTTTGTCAAGCCGAGACTTAAACACCTCTAGGGATGGAGACTCCACTGCTTCCCTAGGTAACCCATTCCAGTGCTTCCCCACCCTCCTAGTGAAATAGTTTTTCCTAATATCCAACCTGGACCTCCCCCACTGTAACTTGAGCCCATTGCTCCTTGTTCTGCCACCTGCCCCCACTGAGAACAGCCTTTCTCCATCCTCTTTGGAACCTCCCTTCAGGTAGTTGCAGGCTGCTCTCAAATCCCCCCTCACTCTTCTGTTCTTCAGACTAAACAAACCCAAATCCCTCAGTCGCTCCTTGTAGGTCATGTGCTCCAGCCCCCGAAGCATTTTGGCTGCCTCTGCTGGACCCTCTCCAATGTGTCCGCATCCTTTCTGTAGTGGGGGGCCCAGAACTGGACACAATACTCCAGATGTGGCCTCGCCAGAGCCGAATAAAGGGGAATAATCACTTCTCTGGATCTGCTGACAATGCTCCTCCTAATGCACCTAATATGCCATTAGCCTTCTTAGGGTAAGAATAGCCATACTGTGTGAGAGCAAAGGTCCATCTCACTCAGTATCCTGTGTGCCAACAGCGACCAATGCCAGGTGCCCCAGAGGGAGTGAAAAGAAACAGGTAATCATCAAGTAATCCCGTTTCTGTCGCCCATTTCCAGCCTCTGACAAACAGAGGCTACGGACACCATTCCTACCCATCCTGGCTAACAAGTGTTAATGGGCCTGTCCCTCATGAATTATCTAGTTCTTTTTTGAACTCTGTTAAAGACCTGGTCTTCACAACATCCTCTGGCAAGGAGTTCCACAGTTTGTGTGCTGCATGAAGAAAAACTTCTGTTTGTTTGTTTTGAACCTGCTAGCTATTCATATAATTTGTTGAGCCTAGTTCTTATGTTATGGAAATGAGTAAATAACTTTTCTTTATTCACTTTCTTCATATCTGTCATGATTTTATAGACCTCTGTCATATCTCCCCTTGGTCACCTCTTTTCTAAGCTGAAAAGTGCCAGTCTTTTTATTCTATCTTCTTATGGGACCCGTTCCAAACCCCTAATCATTTCTGTTGCCCTTTTCTGAACCTTTTACAATGCCAAGAGATCTTTTTTTGAAATGAGGCAGCTGCATCTGCAGGCAGTATTCAAGATATGGGCATCCCATGGTTTTATATAGAGGCAATAAGATGTTCTCTGACTTACTCTCTATCCCTTTTTGCAAGATTCCTAACATTCTGTTTGCTTTTTTGACTGCTGCTGCACACTGGGTATTTTCAAAGAACTATGCACAATAACTCCAAGATCTCTCTCTTGACTGGTAATAGCTGAATTAGTCCCCATCATTTTGTATGTATAGTTCAGATTATTTTTTCCAATGTGCATTACTTTGCATTTGCCTCTCTGACATTCTTTCATGGGGCTATTCCTGTGACTAAGGCAAGCAGGAATTGACCTGTGGTTGAAGGGGAAAAAGAAGTATAAAAGTCCTGACTTTCTGCACACAGATGTCTGCCCTTGCGGGAACTGCGCCAGGAAGGGCCTCTGCCAAAAAACCTCATACCTACCCTATAAAAATGCTGTGCAAGTATCTGACAAGCCAATATACTGAAGCAATTATAGCCTCTGGAATGGGATTAAAATAAAACAGCATTGTCCATTTCTGTCAGCCAGATATTTAATTGTTCAATCTGTTTGGAGTTTTCCTGGACAAAAGAGTAAATCATTTTGTGTGAATGGAAAATAATGCAGTGGCATCTGAAATGCTGTTATCATTACCCACTTGGCAACACCCACCGTTATTCTGGTGCTTATTTGATATAAAAATAGACCTTTCAAATCAATATACTCTGACACTGTGTGATTTGCAGGAGTTTTAGGGCAGTCACTTCAGATGGGCCTATTTTATGTGAAAAATACTAATGAGTTTTTTCAAGTCACTGACCAATGGCTGTTTGGCGGCAGTATTGGAAACATGTTTCTTGTTTATTTTAGAAGGGGCTGAGGGGGGAGCGATGGTTCTTCGCACTCTGCAGGGCCTCGAGTGTGGATATAATAGGGCTCTGTTAGTGCTCTGGGGATTGGCTCTACTTCATTCCCAGCTGAAGCAGCTGAAAGGCCCTTTGTATGACCCACCTCTAAGTTTCAGCAACATTTTCCCAAGATACAGGGAGCAGCAGCGTACCAAGGATACATGGTTTGTTTTAAAGGGAGCCCAATATTTTGAGGCTGATGCTCTGCCTACCAAAATGCCAATGTCACGCTTCTGGTGGTTTCCTTTTGTGTACATATAAAGCTATGAGAAGTGCTGTCCTGTCCTGTCCCATGGACGGTCACACAGGAGGTCCTGCTGCTTCATCTCGTGTTTCTGTGGTGCTGGAAGTATTGACGTGGTGAAATGTTGTTGTGGGGCCAGATCCTTTAGGTCAGTATGACGGAGATGGGAAATGAAGCCATTCTGACATTTGCTTAGCTTAGCTGAAGAGACTATAGGCAGACACTTTGAACTATGCACCCACAGAAGACTGGTAATCCGCAACACCAGTAAAGCAACTCAGTAAACAGGGAATATTTACTTCCGCCTGCCTGCACAGGCAATTGGGCAGGTACCTGTCGGGTAAGACTGTCTCTCTCCCTCCTGCTGTAACATGGCATGAGACTGTACTTGCCTTGTCTTGTTTGCCCACAATGCTTGGAAGGCAGTAGGAAAGTACAGAAGCCATATCATTCAGAAGCGATGACTCATAGCAGCCCATCACAATGCAAATGTCTCCTCCCTGATAAAGCTGATGATAAGAAGGAGGGGGTAACCTACATACCTGCTCTGAGACGCCAGGATTTCCTGGAGCCCTTGGGCTGAGCTACAGCACATTGAATTCCACTTTATAGAGGAGATTGATTTCTGTTTTTTGTTTCTGTTTTTCATTCCGCCCCTACCTGCTCTGAACAAGACCCTAAAGCCAAGTCCCAAATCCTGCCTGCTTTGCTTGGCAATGACCAGGTAGAATTTGGCCTCAAATAGAAGTTTTGTTTAAAAAACCCACACAGCAACAAAACCAAAAATAACCCCAGCAATGCTACACTCCTCTGGAATTGTTTCCATTATTCTATTGAAAACGCCAGGGAAAACATTTCCCCCTCTTTTCGCTTCACCATTTGCAAGCCAAGTATTGCAGCCCTGTGCTATTGCACGAGACCCTGAAAGTAAAACTGACAAGAAACTGGTCAAAAAGAAAAGTGGCTTTGACCCACCTGTCTCTTCTTGTTTGTTCCGATGTCCTGACCCAGCATTTCCTCTTCCTATATTGCTGTGAACCAGGTGTCTGACTGGCTGCCACCCTCCCACTCTCCCCAAACATGGCTGCATCTCCCCACTGCCTCCATTACTGTGCTGCCTAATCTTTTTTGTCACCTGACAGGTTTAGACCTTTTCTGTTTCATAGCACCTTCTTGTGTGCTCCCAGACTCAGCCAGGGAGGGACTGTCTAGTGGCATTGTCGTTTTGCATTTGCATCTGAAAGAGAAGGAAAGAATACCGTTATGTAGAGTGGATAGGAATTTTTAGAGAGCTATTCTAAGCAACTGCCTGAAAAGCCATTTATTCGAAAGCCCAGAAGTCTGGCCCTCTGTGATCCTTTTGAAAATGTTGGCTCTGTTACCCACTGTGCACAGCATCGGCATCTATAAAAGCACAGATATCAGCCAGCACTTACGTAGCTCTCTACACCCTTTGAGTGTGGGGTAAACAGGAACCAGGAATCTTCCTGTGCGTAGGAAGAAACCGTCAGTCTGGGGTGGGGAAACTGAGACAGAAAAGGGAGGTAAATTCCCAGAGGCAGGACTTGCATTATGTGATTGCCTGGGCCGTCTAGGGGCCACCTCTCATTCGCCTTCCCAACAGCCCAAGCCTGTGTCCTTGGCACAGGGCTGGTTACTGCTGGCCTGTCTGAGCAAGGTGTCTCTCTCCTTTCTCTCTTGGGCAGAGAGAGACTGGAGATGATGCCAAGAAATCAGATGACATGAAAGTGCTGCAGCTAAATGTGTGCAGTGACCAGGAAGTGGCTCAGGCGGCGGAGTTTGTGAAGAACAATCTGAAGGAGCCGGAGAAAGGTACTGAGGACAGTGTTATAGGCGGCAGGGGTGTGGGTGTGGGTGTGCACGTGCGCACACTCTCTCAGGCCAGGTGCCTTTTTAATTCACTTCCATGAATCCTTGCTAAGGAGGAGGTACGCCCAGGGCAGAGATAAAGTGATGTAGTAATGTGTCCGGGAGTATTCCGTGGAAGGCATTTCCTGGTTTGGGGTTTTTGTCATCCCATTGTGCAAGGTATAGAGGGGAGCTGGCCTGTTGCATGACAGAAGCACAAGGACATGCTGGCAAACAGCCGCTTAGTATGAACAGCCTGGCTCCAGCTTGACTGGAATACAGTCAGTACTCTGCAGCACTGCAGATAACTGGGCTGGCAGTGGGGAATGGAGCTTGAAGTGGGTCCTCCCTGTTTCCCTCCCTCTCTCACCTCTGAGGCTGAGCCTGCTTTGGGGAGGTTGAGAGGGTTCTTGGCCACGGTGGATCACACTATGCCTGCAATGCTGTATTCACAGAGCCTGTCCAAGTGCACTGCCACCCATACAGGAGTTAACCAGTCTCAGACCAGAATGCGCCACGTCAGGATAGTGAGTATCTGCCCCTTGCTCATGGCTCTGCCCATAGACATCTGCACAGGAGCATTTGGGGGCTGCTCCATCTAAGAGCGTCCCCAAGGCCTTGTCCTGAAGGACCTGGGCAACGCTGGGTAAGTCTACTAGTGATAATCAAATGACTAAATAAGTGGTCAGAACTAATCGTGCAATGTCTGACCCTTGTTTTCCTATTGTTTGCTCTGTCGTTGTCATTGGTTACGGCTTGTCTAGTACCATAGAGGCAGACACAGGGCTTCGCGAAACCGAGTCCTTGCCCTGAAGCACGTAAAGTGGAAGGGCTTTGTCCTGCGGACACTGCTGGGCGCACCTCACGGCTGTAAACGCTCTGCCTGGCACCTGGGCTCCGACCTCCGTTCTTCACTGAGGCTCCGCTCTGGGGCCGGCTCAGCGGGGTGCGTGGGGCTCTGCAGAGGCGTATGAGGACAGAGGCCTAATTGCAAGCCAGTCGGTCTCATTGCCATCAATGCCAGCTAGGGAGGTTCTGCTGAAAGAGGCCCAGTCGCTGTCCCCCTGCCACTGTTGCTGCTGCAAGGGCAGGAGAAAGAACGTGGATGGCAGGGCCCTGCGGAGGCACCGTGGGTAAGTTGGGGCTTTCAAAAGTGGCCCCTGATGCCCTTCTTGAGCCTGACTTTTCAGAGGTGCTGAGCACACTCATTCCCCCAGAGGTCAGTGGGATCCATGGATGCTCTGGAAATCAGCCCGTGGGTTGGGCCCCCCAAATCTAGTCTGAGCCTTCACCTTCTCTGGCTGGAGGGGGACACTGTGCCGCTGCCGGGCAGGCCGCTGCTCTAGGGGAGCTCTTGCCGACTTCCCTTGTGTGTGTGTTCGGTCCAGCAGCAGCAAGTGTGGCTCATGCGGAGTGGGGAGCTACAGCCCCACCTGCCCCTCTGTCCGTCCCGCCTCAGGAGAACCAATGGCCTGGCCCAAGCAGCATCTCTCCTGGGTGAGGACAGGTGCGGGTCCCTCAGCAACTTCCCTGGTGCTTTGAGCCAGTCCCTGGATACTCTTCTGCCTCCCGTTACTCCATGTTACCTTGGTCCCGGGGCTCCTCTCTGAGTGTATTTTACTGCCCTAGATGAAAGCATCCAGGCTTTGCCGGGGGAAGGTAAATCCCAGGGAAAGCAGGGCCTCTACCCCTTAAACACTCTGTTGTTTATTGGCAGGTCTGTGGGGCTCAGTGAACACTGGCATGTCAGCCTTCAGGGAGGTGGAATTCACAAGCTCACACACGTGCAAGGAGGTGGAAGATGTCAACCTGTGGGGAACTGTCCGAGTGATCAAGGTGTTCCTGCCCCACATTCACAGCCACAAAGGTCCTGAGGGCATCGGCATGGCTGCAGGCAGGGAGAAGCTTCACAACGCAACAGGGAAAACCATCGCTAGCTCAAGGCTGTACAGGCAGGAGTCGGCCTGCAATAGGAGCACCTGACAGAGCTACAGGAAGTCACTTTGTGTAACTCCTGTCGCTGAGGGGCCCGAGCTACAGGGAGGCTGATAAATGCGGTTATAACAATATCTGTGCATAGAGCCATTTTAAATGTGTCCCCGCCCAGCCGAACATGCCAGGCAGGCAATAAGTATGAGGAAATCTGAGGGACTCGTGGAAGCAGGCGGCCATTGGCGGATGCAAGCCCAGCCTCCTACTCTGGGAAGGGAGACACACCCGCAGTGGGAACCTGGGGTGATTCTTGTTCTGATAAATATACTCCAGCTGCCCTAGAATAAGAATCTGCCCTGTCAAGTCTGCATGCGGCTCTACCTGTTCCGTTGCCATGGCGCGCGTCCGGGGGTGGACAATGGAGCAGGTACAGGTGTGCCGCTCTGCTCTGCCTGGCTCTCGGTTTCAACCCCCCACCGCCTGGCCCACACAACTCCTGAGAGGATTTTCAGGCCTAGGCCGGCGAATGTGGCTGAAGGCCCCGGTGCACTGGAGCCGGATGAAGTGCTAGGGGGAGACTTTCTGCTCCTGCCCCAGCCCCTCGGAGTATGAGCCCCTTTGTGCTGGCAGAGGCCTGTGGCGAGGTGCCCTGGGGGTTCAGGAGTTCCTCTCCACGTGCTCACCCCCATTCTGGGCCCAGACTGACACATGAATGGTCCTGCCGAGAAATCTCCCCTTCACTGGCATGGGAGGCCATACAGCGTCCTGGGGCTCCCCGCCATGGGACCCCATGCTCCTGAGCCAGCCCTGTCTGAGGCTTTGCTCGATATTCGTTATTACCCAGAAACAGTCACTGCGCCCCTTCGGTTCTCCACGTGCTCACCCCCATTCTGGGCCCAGACTGACACATGAATGGTCCTGCCGAGAAATCTCCCCTTCACTGGCATGGGAGGCCATACAGCGTCCTGGGGCTCCCCGCCATGGGACCCCATGCTCCTGAGCCAGCCCTGTCTGAGGCTTTGCTCGATATTCGTTATTACCCAGAAACAGTCACTGCGCCCCTTCGGTGAGTTTGTGGCATGGAGGGTGTGGCGATGGCCCTGGGAAATGCCCATCCATGTGCCCACAATAAACATGGTTGCCTCTGCTTCTACCCCCTGCTCCTCCGTGGCTAACACCCAGCTCAGCACATGCTCCTGAGCCAGCCCTGTCTGAGGCTTTGCTCGATATTCGTTATTACCCAGAAACAGTCACTGCGCCCCTTCGGTGAGTTTGTGGCATGGAGGGTGTGGCGATGGCCCTGGGAAATGCCCATCCATGTGCCCACAATAAACATGGTTGCCTCTGCTTCTACCCCCTGCTCCTCCGTGGCTAACACCCAGCTCAGCAAATACAAGTGAGTGCCAGCGGGGTTATTCCTGCTTTGGAGGTGGAAAGGGGCAAAGCTCTCCAGGGACAGAATGGAGAGGGGCAGACTGAGGAGGCTGCTGCTGAAGTTAGCTGTGTTTGTGGTGGGGAGTCCTGCTGCTGGAAGCCAGTCACCATCTAGGTCTGAGGGAGAGTCGCAAGGGGCTTGAAGGAGGGGACTTGCTGCCATGTCCTGAGTGACGGGCCCCTCTCCCTCCAGGTGATGTTGTCTGGAGACTGCTCCCTGAAGGGGTTATCCTGTCACCCATCTATTCATGCACCCTCCCAGCCTAGCCCAGAACAGAGGCTAGCGATCCCCTTTCCCTTGGCTGTTCCCTTCAGGCCGTGTGGTGAACATCACCAGCATGCTAGGCCGGATAGCCAGCCCATCCTGCTCCTCCTATTGCCTTTCCAGCTTTGGCGTGGCAGCCTTCTCTGACTGCCTCCAGCCAGAAATGCACCGCTGGGGCGCGTGTGTTCTCCTCTTCGAACCCAGCAACTTTGGAGCTACCACTGGCATCCTGATGCATGACAGCATCGAAGCCCAGGCAGAGGAGCTGTGGAGCGGAGCCAGCAAAGCAGTCCAGGCAGACTATGGGAAGCCCTATGTCACGTGCCAGATCACCCTGCTGAAGTCCTTCATTAACAGCAGCTGAGAGACATGTCCCCTCACGGATGCACTCGCTTCCACGTACCCGTACCCCCGGTACAGTCCCACGGAGGCCTACTGGCGCGTGCTTGCTGACTGGCTGGATATTTACTGAGCCTCACTTGAAATCGCTGGCCTGGCAGCATCCGCTGGCTCTTCGTAGCTGGAGCTGAAAGCTGCTCAGCGGTAGCTAAGGGCAGGATGGCTCTGGAGCCCCGTGTCTCTGCCAGGCCTGTTGCACCGAGCCAGGCCTGGGGCCCATGTCTGTGTTGTGACCCCTGAGAAATGCCTGGGCCTGGCCCCTCCCAGTCCTCTGCCGTCATGCTCCCTGCTCTTCCAAGGGCATTTTCCACTGGGCTGTGGAGGGGGCAGGTTTATAAGGAGACAAATCTGATCCTGGAGTACCAAGCCCGGGGCTGGATCTCTCACGGACGGGCTCTTGCCAAGGGCAGGCCGGCTGAGGTGATGGAGTCGAGGTCTGAAAAGAGAACTGCTAAAATGGGAAACAAAAGCCGCACTTTCCATTCGATCAGAAATAGGTCAGCCACAGCCCGTCTCCCTCCGCCCCGCCTCGTGATCCTGCTGAGTCACACACTCCACAGCCGTCTCTAGGGGAAACAGCCGCACGACCTCTAAATGACTCATGCTGCAGAGCCAGGCTCCGGAGAACCCGGCTGCCCTGCAAGTGCGAACCCGCAGCAGAGAGAGGCCGTCCACGACGTGGCCCTGAGCAGGAAGCCACTGCAAGAGCAGGCCCAGACGTGGGCTGGGTGGGAGCACGTCCACAGGGGCTGCACCTTCCCTGGCTCCCTGGTTGGCTGCTGGAGTCCAGGGCTTTGCCAGCCCGCTGTGGGTCTGAGTGGCCGGGGCTTCGCCAGCCCGCTGTGGGTCTGAGTGGCCGGGGCTTATCCAGCCCGCGCTGTGGGTCTGAGTGGCTGGGGCTTCGCCAGCCCGCTGTGGGTCTGAGTGGCCGGGGCTTATCCAGCCCGCTGTGGGTCTGAGTGGCCGGGGCTTCGCCAGCCCGCTGTGGGTCTGAGTGGCCGGGGCTTCGCCAGCCCGCTGTGGGTCTGAGTGGCCGGGGCTTCGCCAGCCCGCTGTGGGTCTGAGTGGCCGGGGCTTCGCCAGCCCGCTGTGGGTCTGAGTGGCCGGGGCTTCGCCAGCCCGCTGTGGGTCTGAGTGGCCGGGGCTTCGCCAGCCCGCTGTGGGTCTGAGTGGCCGGGGCTTCGCCAGCCCGCTGTGGGTCTGAGTGGCCGGGGCTTCGCCAGCCCGCTGTGGGTCTGAGTGGCCGGGGCTTCGCCAGCCCGCTGTGGGTCTGAGTGGCCGGGGCTTCGCCAGCCCGCTGTGGGTCTGAGTGGCCGGGGCTTCGCCAGCCCGCTGTGGGTCTGAGTGGCCGGGGCTTCGCCAGCCCGCTGTGGGTCTGAGTGGCCGGGGCTTCGCCAGCCCGCTGTGGGTCTGAGTGGCCGGGGCTTCGCCAGCCCGCTGTGGGTCTGAGTGGCCGGGGCTTCGCCAGCCCGCTGTGGGTCTGAGTGGCCGGGGCTTCGCCAGCCCGCTGTGGGTCTGAGTGGCCGGGGCTTCGCCAGCCCGCTGTGGGTCTGAGTGGCCGGGGCTTCGCCAGCCCGCTGTGGGTCTGAGTGGCCGGGGCTTCGCCAGCCCGCTGTGGGTCTGAGTGGCCGGGGCTTATCCAGCCCACGCTGTGGGTCTGAGTGGCTGGGGGGGGGGCCGCCCGCCCCAGTCAGGCATTGTCCCACCTGCGTGTTGTGACAGAGTCCACGGGCAAAGCTGTGCTGAGCTAGCCAGCAGTGTGGGGATTCATGGGTTAATAATGCCTCTCAGGCTTGAGCCTCTCAGCTGTGGCCCTGGCTGAGTGAATCGCTGCAGCTGGGCCAGGGCAGCCCGAGGCAAAAGCACAGGTCAGGCAGTGGCTCTGGAGGAGGACGGGGCTCCTGGGAGCTGGGCTGGCTGGCTGGTGTGAAGGTCAGTAACGCGGAGAAGGGCTGAGCCAGACTCTGCCAGGCCACTCTGTCGGCTAAGCAAGAGCCCTGTGCACAGAGCCCAGAGGGACATGGCTGCTGCTCAGCCAGGGCCTCCCATGAGCACCTCCTGGCCATGCTGACTCCGGCCCGCTCTGGCGCAGAGGAGGGGATGCCACGAGCACTGGGAATGAGGGGGGATCAGGCCAGCCCTGTGGGTGGGCGTCTGGAGCACAGAGAGCAGACTCATGGCTAGCACTAACCGGTTCCGCTTTGGCCCTGCCTTCTCAGCCGCCCCTGCACACCCACACTGAATCTGAGCCATCCCCACAGGACACTGAAACGCCTGGGCCTCTGAGTACCACACCCTGAGTGGATGCTGCTGGGGCCCCATTTCTCTCCTCTGTCATTGATATTTCACAATGAAATGCTAATAAGCATCTCCTCAGAAAGCCTTCCCAATCGCTCTGCGGCTATGAGAGTAGCTGGGGCTAGTGGCACAGGGATGGGGCCTGCATGTGGCATCAGATGCTTTCTCTTTGCTGCGCTAGTTGCTCAGCATTGCCCCTGCTCTGGAGTGACTGCGTATCCGACCGTGATCACACTCCCGGCACTGCTGGCCAGGTTGGGATCCATTGTCCAGCTTCAGCGCAGGCAGCACACACGCCCCTGCTGCTGCTGCTTGCAAACCGAGGTGAGACAAGAGTGAATTCTAAACCTGCTTGTCAATCATCCAACCAGGCTCTAGTGTATGAGTACAGCGTTTTATAGGCTGTACCTGTGGCTGGCGTCTGAATCCAACTGTAAATGCTGTTGGATGTCAATAAAGGAGGCATCCCATGGAGCATGTGTGCAGAGGGCACGTGTTGTAAATCAGAGATGGAAACACCGGGTGGGCGGTAGGGCTGTTTTCCACTGCAGATCACAAGGGGACAGAAAATGCCAGGGATGCAGGGTGCCTGTTACTACGAAAGATAAGAGACCTCGTGTTAAGCACTGCACAGCTGCGTCCTCTGTGCCCTTAGTGTCACCGGCACCGAGAAGTTCTGGGAACATGGAGTGTCCCTTGATTACACAGAAGGAAAAATAAAGGAGATTCCTAGGGAAGGTGGTTGTTTCCAATGCTTGTGTCTTTGCATTTTCTCTTTCTGCTTCTGTGGGCTCTAGCCCAGGTCAGGGCATCTCCAGTCCAGCATAGCAGCCATTCTCAGGCTCCTGTGTTACTCGCATAAATTTCTCTGTCTGTTGCTTCCTGGTTTCAAGAGTCCTTTAAAGACCTCTAATACACTGTGTCACAGTATTAGAGAAAAAGATGTTGGGTATGACTCCCCTCTCATGCCACTTTTACTCTGATGTAACCCCACTGACAGCACTGGAATTGCTTCTAATTTACACAAGAGTAATTTAGCTCAATGAGCTGGACAATTTTTTATTTTTT